AAGACAGATACCATAGTGTGCTTTCACAGACTTGTTCAAGAAAGAATGCTATCCTAGTTAATTATGATATGTTGCATTATAATGCCTTTTATCATTTTCTAAACTTTCCTCTTCATTTGGTTTAAAAGAATATTTTCAGGTCCTCCTTAGCTAAGTATGTCATAACTGTACACTGAGTCCAAGAAGTATAATTGGTGTGAGTAAACAGCCCATTCATTTTAACTGCTAATTTTCTTTTACAGTAACAACAGGATGCTTTGATTTATGGCCCGTCCATTTTGAGCTGTATATATTTCTTTCCACTAGGTTTTTTGTTTCTACTCTGCCTCTATTCAGTGTAATCCTGTTTTGGATTTATACACATATATTTTCCTCCCTAAACATATTACGTTATCTTTGGTTTCATTATTTTCATATTACATGCAATATGTCTTAATATCATGAAGGAACTTAGTAATTTATTCATCTATTTGCTTACTTATTTGTACCTACAGATTATTTCAGAAAGAATTTAAGTCAGCTTTTAGCAATATTACATAAACTAAGATAATTAAAAGTGGTTAGAAGAAAAAAAACAAAAATGATTCATTTGTAATCATGAAAAGTGAGATTACAAATAATGTGAAAATGTAGAAACAGCAGTATGGACCATACATTTATCTACAAGCTTACTAGAGAAAACAGTAAAATGGATAAAAATACATTTTTTCATGTTCTCCTAGAACCCTGGGAATAGAGTTTAGAGGAGTTTATTTTAGGGAAATTAAATATATTTTCAAAGGAGTAGGTAAAATGTACTATATTCATTGTCCCTAGCAGTGGTATAGGCTAACATTGTGAGTTGATTAGAAAGGATAATCAGTTTCATACTAGATTAAACTAAGACATGTGGAAAATGTATTAATCTCATGGTTAAGTTCCTTCATGATATTAGCTACTTCAGTCACCTCTTCTCTCAGCCTTCCTCTTTACCAAAAGATAAGCCTAATATATTTTTCATTTGTCATCATCCAACCCCTACATTTTCTTGAACAGTTCATTTTAGTTGCTAAAGTGAAGAATGGAATTTTGAAGGATAATTTTGGGGTGAAAGACTCATATAGACAGCTGATACAGGTGAGGGAAATGAATGGAAAGGTGAGATTTTTAAGCTCACATAATGGTGGTCTAGGAATCCCCATTGTAATGTCTGGTAAATGCAAATAAATAACTTTAGTTATTTTAAAACTGCTTTTATTGCTGCCCTGGGTTCCTCTGATTGTACAGTGCTCTGAGCACATTGGATGACAAATCACAGGGAACATGTCTTTCTAAGATTATATGGACTTAGTTGAAAATATGACTCTTAATGGGCAAGGGTGATAACGGGGAGAGTCCTCCTACTATTCCTTGTATGGAGATTTTAGAAAGAAAAAGGAGAGAACCAAAGATATTCCAAGAAAGGAAACTGCAAAAATAAAGGGCTGAAACTGAAAATAAGCAACAAATTAAATATTAAAAATATGGAATAACTAAGTCTTAAAGACACAAGAGGAGACTGACTTAACTGGAGCAGAGAAAACTCTCCAGGAAATAAGCAAGAAAACTCTCCAGCAAGTAAGCCAGGAGAGACAGTGTGGGTGAAGCAGAAGCTACTACAGATTTCTGAGAGAGAGAGAGAGAGAGACATAATGAAAACAGCGTTTTAAACTCAAAGCTAGAGATGCAGAACTGGAAATCATCTGTATAGAGGCTACAGGTTAAGCAATGTGAATAAAGGAGAAATCAAAGAAAATACATTTTCTTTCTGCTTTTTAAAAATGTATTCATAATTAATAAAATTAAATTATACTCATTATAAAAATTTGGAAAATATAGACAACTATACAGATGAAAATTAAAATTGCTTGCAATCCTACCACCCAGAGGTAAAAACTATAAAGCCACAGCTATACATCCTTTCAATATTTATTTTTCTATATGTACTTTTTTATGTTCTAAACATGGCAGTATAGCATAGTTCAATACTTACCAATGATGTCCTACTTTCCAATAATTGTTAATTCCCTGTAAAACAAGAGTTGTCTCACCCAGCAAGTTTGGGGAATCTGCATACTTGATGCATTCTTTGGAGATTGTCTTAGTTCATTTTGTGCTGTCATGATGTAATAACACAGACTGGATAATTTACCAAGAAGAAAGATTTATTTTTCACAGTCTGGAGGCTGGGAAGTACAAGATCAAGGCACCAGCATCTGGTGAGGCCATCTTGCTGCGACCTCACATGGCAGAATAAGAGCAAGATGAAATGAACCCACTCCTCTAAGCCTTTTTTATAGTAATATTAATCCATTTAAGAGGGCAAAACCCACATGACATAAATAACTTCCATTAGACCCTACCACCCAACACAGTTGCATTGGGATTTTATTTGCAACACATGAATTTTGGAGGACTCATTCAGACCACAGCAGAGCTAAACACTATACACTAGCACATCAGAGGCCCTACAAAGTTAAATCACAAAAAAGACTTTACATAATTAGTAACTACCAATCTTATTTGTGCAGTAGAATGATTTTACATGTACACCTGTTAACATCACCCTGAACTGCTCTTCCCTTTGAAACATGGAGATGTGGTTGTCAAGAGCTTAAGCTTTAGAATGGAACAGGCCTGGGTTCAGCCTGGCTTCCAATTTTGTTCTCTCCAGAATGTTGCTACCTACATAGCACTTTGCTCTTCATAAAAGAAGCACCCGAGTACTTACCTCACAGAACTAGTGTGAGGTTTAAAAAAGACAATGTATGTAAAACACTTACCACTGTGTCTGATACACACTTATCACTCTAAAAACTGGGTTGGCTTTGGTAATATCATAATTATTAACCTGAATTTTCCTCCTATCTACCACAATTATTTCCCTATGTCATTATTTTTCAAAACGCAGCCCTTTAATCACTCCACGTTAGTCTATGCCACTATCCCATAACTGAATTGTCTAATGCTATACTGGAGAACATTTATTTCCATTTTTTCTTTTATAAATAATGCTCTGATTGATATCTTCATATATAAAACTTTGTCAGCCTCTCTGATTAATTGCTTAGAGTTGACTCCTAGAAAGAGAATTGTTAGATAAAAGGGCAAAAATATTTTTAAGTTTTTAATACATATTACTAAACTGCCCTTATGAAGGCTTGCATAAAATTGTATTTCCACTATGAGCTGAATAGTCATTTCCATGTCCTAGTCTTTGTGTTAGGATAATAGTGGAGATGGGTTGCTAAACAGAAGCAGAAAGAAAAGAAATATACATTTTTGCTTTCTGTAGATATAGAAAAGAGAAAGAAGTTAAATATAAGAATTAGTGTTTGAAAAATAAGCCCATTTTCATGCTGACTTCCAGGACTCCAGCTGGGTTGATGTGAGCAAGCTTGGAAGTGGAAGTCTTATAGAGCTACGCCTAAAAGGGAATAACTCCAGTGGTTCCAGATGTAAGATAAAAGTGGGCAGTAAAATAGGTTAAAGTAAATGTGATAATAACAGGGAGACCAGATATATTTATAAATTTAGGAACTCATCAAATGACACAGCTTGTTTGCTTGACTCACTGTAAGAGATCCAGTCATTTGTTATTTTTGCAACAACGAATACTAGGGAGTTGGGTATTTATATTTATTACATTAATTCCTACTGAAATAAAATGTATTTATGTGCAAGATGGCAAGATGTATTTACACACAAGATAACAGAGTATTGAGATTATTCCATTTCTAGGACTCAACCATACAGAATTAATCAGAAATGTAGACAAAGTTTTATACGTAAATGAAATAATAACAATACATTAAGTTGGGTGTGGTGGCTCATGCCTGTAATCCCAGCACTTTGGGACGCTGAGGCGGGCAGATCACCTGAGGTCAGGAATTGGAGACTAGCCTGACCAACATGGAGAAACCCAGTCTCTACTAAAAATACAAAATTAGCCAAGTATAATGGCACATACCTGTAATCCCAGCTAACTCAGGAAGCTGAGGCAGAAGAATTGCTTGAACCCGGGAGGCGGAGGCTGCGGTGAGCTGAGATCTCACCTTTGCACTCCAGCCTGGGCAACCATAGCAAAACTCCATCTCAAAAACAAAACAAAACAACAACCAAAAAAAAAAAAAATACATTGAGCTCCTTAAAGATTGAGTCTTTGTCTCATTAATTTTGGATTTTTCATCACCCATATAGAAATAGGCACACATTAGGCAAACAGTATGAGTTTGTGTCTAGGGAAACTTTTGTATATGAGGTTTTCACACCCTATACTTATAGGTGACAATCCTGTTTTTCAAGCGAGAGATATAGTCAGCTTATATGGTGAAAGAGCTGATAGTGTATTTCCAAAATAAATCAAGAATATATGGTGATTAACAATATCTCCTTTAGCTATACATGGTATTTTTATTCTCAGATACCAAGGAGAGGTACTTTCCAATGATATATTTAGCAAGAAATCAAAGTGCCATTTCACATAATGCCACAAAATGCCATCAGATTACTCTGGAAGCACATTTCATACTTTAAATGATTTTTCTTGTTTTTAAGTGCTGTTAATTAAATAATAAAAGTGAAAGATATTACTCATAATTTTAAAAGTTACTTCTCTCTCAACTTCCACCTAAGGCTCTGAGTTAGTCACATGTCTATGTTTGATAATTACCTTGAGAACTGTCAAATCCCCAGTCACAGATCAAGAAAGACAAGTTTTAAAATAGAACTAAATTCCAAAAATTTACAGTTTTCCATTATGTTACAAAAGTTATAAGCTAGTAGAATAATTGTGAGGCTCATGCCTTGGATTCTTGAGCTAAGAAAAGAGAAAAAATACTCTTTACTTACCTGCCAGTTGTGAAAAATTATAAGTTCTTTTTGTAAGATGTAAGTTCATCTACATCCACAGATAAAAATTTCTATTAAATTTGAAAAGGAATCATAGAAACATAGATAGTATGGCATTTAGAGGCTCTTACCTGAGTAAAGAAGGGTAGAAATGTGATATGCAAGAAACCCAGAATAATGGTTGCTTAGAAAATGATTTTAAGGAATCTGAAGCAGACTCATCCAGGCCATGCTGAAAAGTCCTAAAGAAATACACATAATTAGTGTAGAATATACAGGAAACATTAACTATGACCATTGAAATAACTTTTAATTTTTACTTATGATTCAGTTAATGATTTTTACACAAAATGGTATTGTGCAAGAATGGACACTGCTCCCACTTCATCTGCTTGGGATATATGTTAATAGGTGACTCAGGAGCTAGGTGGGCAAGTCAGCACAGTCATGAAAAAACCACAAGTTGAAACTTAGAATTTTTATGAACCTCTGTAAAACAATCTTTATACTTGAGTAAGATGTAACAATACCATTATCATTTAATTTTTAAAAATCTCATGTTATACAATTTGTCATGATAAAAGGATAAAGAATAGTACAATGAATACAACCTATGTTTCCTGCGAGTAGTATTTTTATATCCCATTACTATCTTCTTCAACATGGATCCAATAAATGCTAATATTTTGTCATATTTGCTTCATGAATTAAAAAATTTTTTGCATGATGGTACCTCTTTTCAAAGTGATTTATAAGGACTCAATAATTAATTAGAAATTATAATTAATTTTGTATGCTCCTAAGGGTCTAGAGAGGGCTTATAATTTCAAAATTAAAACAATTTAACCAGAATATCTGATCTACAACAATAAACAATTACTGTAACATTTTTCTAGGTTGGCTCAAATTCAACTCTAAATCTTGAAACAATAGAAAAGGATTTGTCACATAAAATCTTTAGCAGATAACTTGGCTAGTAAAAAATTTATAACAACAGGAGATTATATTTTCCTATATAGAATTAAGAGTAATGACTGGGAACATTTTAGAAATGGAGTTTTTGAGATGGTATCATTTCTCTTTATATACAGTACAGAAGCAATAGTATCTTTTGATATGCAGAACAGAATTCCATTTTGAAAATCCACCCTTATATTTTCACTCCACATCTTGCTACTTGTATCCTCATGTTTTCCAAATTTGACCTTTCTATCCCCCTGGTTGTCTTGCTAAATAGAACATCTTCTAGTTAAATAGACTTGGACCTTTTTTAGACTTTTAATATCTCATCTCTTCTTTAAAAGCCTTTTTTTTCTCACTAAATCTCAGATCAAAATAAACATTCCTTAAATAAGCTCCAAAGTCAAGCTGTAATATTTCCATTCCATGTATTCCACTGCACGAGCTAGAGAAGTAAGCAGAAGCCAGACCAGGTACAAAGATACATTTTTCTAAGGAGTTTGGACTTAGTACCAGCAATAAATAATCACTGAAGAGTTTATAGTATGGGATTAACACCAGCAGTTTTGTATCCTAGAAAAATCACTTCAGCAGTAGTAAGGAGAGAAGACTGGAAAGAGTCAGGCAGGAGGGAGGGAAATAATGAAGATGATATTGCAGTAGACAGATCAGAGAGGATAAGATGCTGAACCAAGGTAAGAGACAGGAAATAGAAAGTAGGAGACAAATATAAAACATGTTAAATTAATGGAACAATATTCATCTCCTAATGACATGGGGTTGGTGATGGTATAAGTGGGGAGATAGAAGGAGAAAATTAAGGAAAAGAAAGAAGCTTGGGATACACTGCAAGTATTTTACTTAGTTTTAGATATGTTAAGTGGGCTACAAACACCTGAAGTACATCCAAGGCATCCAATAGGAATTTGGATTTACCGATACAGCACATACAAGAGCTGTCTGGTTTGAAGATATCAATGTGGAAGTCATCACGTAATGGTATAGCCATAAGAGTGGATGAACTCACCCCCCGCAAAAAAAGAAGTTAGAGAAGCCAAGAGAAGAGAAAATGACTGAATCCACTAGAGTTAGTAATTGGGTGTGTGTGGATGACTCTGCCCATGTTGTTAGTTTAGCATGCTGAGGGTAGAAGTCCAATTGCAATGCACCGAGTGAGTGGTAGGTATAAAAGTAGATAATGAGTGAAAACTGTTTTAGAAGGAAAACACAATAGTAATGGAGGAACATTTTTTAATACAGGAAATGTTTGGGGGAAGGAGCCACGAGACAAGATAGAAAGAATATTTAAAAAGCCATGAGTAGGAGGTAAATGCAATCAAGAGGTCAGGCACAAAGATTTCCTTTATTTGGGAAAAGAGACATATTGATCAGACAGTAATCAAAGGATGTAGAGGTGAGTGGGGAGAAAAATTATTATTAGGAACAGAGATGAGAAGTTAAAGTGCATTCAGGATGGTGTGGATTTTCTTGGAGAAGTATAGGGGCAAGGCCATCTGCTAACAAGCAAATGGGACAAGATCAGGGGCTTGATTAAAGTCGAGAAGGATGAAAGAAGGAGTTGTCCAAGATTGGACAGAGAGTGGGATTGTCAAAGGGTATAAAAGGAGAGGTGAGTGATATTCTCTAAAAATGCACCAGAGTCTGGATAGAGCCCAAGAAAGTGAGGGTATGAGGAGGACCATGCAACTGCAAGAGAGCAAGGAAAAGGAGGGCGCTGGTACAATGTGACAGGAGGTGCAGCAAGCGGCCTGGAGAGAAAGGCAGTCTCAAAGGAAGGGAAGACTCAGAGAGAAGGATGGGACAAGACATAGAACGCCTGACGAGACAGCAGGGGGAACTGGAGAATGTGGACAAAGATACTACATATCTTTGTAGCCTTTCTCATAGCCTATGCCTGCTTTCCCTTCCACTTTAATCCCTTTGCATAAAATCCCTGTTTGTCTTGTTATCTGAGGGCCACCTCATTTGTCTAAGAATGAATACTTCACTGTCATGTTCAGGTAGCTCCATTGATTGGTCTACCTCCAAAACTTCTCTACTAAGTCTTCTCTCACTACCCTGTCTAAAATACATCCCCTTTTACAACCTCATCCCCTCTCTATGCCCTAATTTTGGTCTATTTCTTTATAGGATTCACCTCTGCCTCCAATTCCTTTCCATTACTTTTTTATCTGCTCCACACCCCAAGGGTAAGGTCATCAATGGTTATATAGAGGGGGTGTATGGGCACATGCAGGAACCGAAGCCAGAGAGCCTGGGCTTGTATCCTGAATGTGCTTTTATTAACAGGCAATGCTAGTGGCAATATATTTACTCTCAGTTTTCTCGTTTGTAAAATGGGGATTAAAATAGTAAATCACCTCACAGGGTCAGTGTGAAGATTAAGTGGAATAATGTATTTAAGGGATTTAGCAAAATGCCTTGTACATAGTAAGTGCTCTATATAAATAAGATATCATTATAATAACAACAGTTAGAAATTGTTCCTTTAAAAGTCTATGACCATTTCAAAATGGACATGAAATTCCTGATAGTCTAAATTGTTGCCCAGCTGCAGTTTTATCCTCACAAGTAGACAAAATAATGGAGGATCTAAAAATAATAGCATGGTGATTTAGTACCCAAATTTCTTAGACGACAAAGTACTGGCAATATGGTATTTATCTGAGCATATCTGCCAGTACCTAAACTCTTTTACTCCACTGACAGTTTCTCAGTCATACTGGTTACAGTAAGGTTATTTGGCTATAAGAGATATTATGGCAGATGTTTATGGTCTCAAAGGGAGTGAGATCTGTATGAGCATTTAATTCCACAGCAAGATCCCAAATTAGTTTCATTATTCTAGAGAGTATAACAGGGTGAAAATTGGCCCACAAGCCTCAATGGGAGAATGAAATTATGAGCTAGCTATTAGATAACCTCTAATGATGTTTTGGTATACAGTTAAAAGACAGGACGCTCTAAATAATTCATAGTGGAGAGTAAAATACAATTGTATGAGCCATAGAATTATATTTTCGATGAGACATAAAAGAATTTTGATACAGCAAATTTAAATACTTTCTTAAAAATAAATGTCTATAAGTTTGAAGCAGGATACATTTCTTCACATTTCCAAATGAACACACTGGAAATATGACTTTGCCTAAGGGGAAAAGAGTGAATTTTGGAAAATTCCTTGCCTTTGCCCTTCCTCCAACCTCAAGTAACCATGCCTCTTCCTAGCATTAGCATCATACAGCCTCTGTGCTGACCATGCCAGCACTCTGTCCTAGATTCACTCTCTCTGGGTTCTCTCATCTACACCTATGATGCCGGCATTCATTTTTTTTCTTTAACAAAATTGATCAGCTCTTTAGGCTTATGTAGCCAGATGCTGAAAGGAGATAAAACCAAATGTACATCAAAAGTGAGAACAGCTGATGAACTAAAAACAGTTAGCTGGGTTTTATGCTTCTCTTGTGCCATGTTGCTTTTGGCTGTCCTCTCAGGAGAAATGGGTCTCATAATATGATGCTAATGGAATAAACCTCTATGACTGAATTAAAGTAGCCCAAGGATGTAAGTTCTATGTGAGTGGAGGGTCAGGTTAGACTTCTTGAGTCATCTGTGCCTACCATAGTGCCTGGGCCATTGGAGGCATTCAGTAAATAATACCAAGAGAAGACCACAACCTTAGAAAAGGCAGACATAGTTTGAAACTGAATGACTAAGATAACACTGGAAAGCTTGAGATAACTGAGGACATGTGAACCTTTCTGATGGCCCTAGAATCACAGACAACTATCTATGAATACCAAATTCAAGATTTTAAAAAGAATTCTAAGTCACTGCTTTGCTTTCAAAATCCAGCATTATACCGGAGACTATAAGTTGTTGCCTAAATGTCATTAAATGACATTTAAGTGCCTTGAATTTCTCGTGATGAAGATAACTATTTGAGGTTAGCAAATGATAATTTGAGGTTAGAGAATGACTGGTACAATGCTAGGCCCATAGTAGATATATGGTAAATACATAGTAAAAGAAAGAAGGAATAAATAAAAGGTATTACCAGACCTTCCTTAGTTAAAAGGAGGATGAGTTTAAAGGGCCATCTAAGAAGAACAATTGTGGGTGGTAGACAGCCAAAGGGCAGGCTCAGAACAGGACATGAGATGGAGAGAGAGAAAGACCAGACCTCAAGGTACACCAGGAGCCAGCCAATCAAATATTCTAGGAGCAGCCCTTCTCTAAATTTAATGACTGACTCTTTTTGAGTATTTTAACCTTATTAGGATGACACATAAAGCTGTTGAATTTTGTATGTTTTAAAAATGAGATTTCCCTTTAAAAATAATGTTTAGAGGAAGGTGGATAAAGGGAGTCACTGAACTTAAACAAAATGGCTAAGACAAGAAACTTCACTTTCTGGAAAATTTTGCATGCTGCCAGATACCTTTTTTTTAAAAAAAACATTTTAAATATATTTCAATTTCCATTTGTTTTCACAACTTTATTGAGATATATAATTCATATACCAAAAGATTTCCCCATTTAGAGTATACAATTAGATGGTTTATACTATATTCATGGAACTGCATAACCTTCATAAGTATCTAATTTTAAAATATTTTATTCTCAAATGAAACCCTGATTCCATCAGTAGTCACTCCCCATTCCCTCCTCCCCTCAGCTTCTGGTAATCATCGATCTATGCTGTCTTTGTGGATTTGCCTATTCTGGACATTTCTAATAAATAGAATCAAATGATATGTGGGCTCTTGTATCTGGCTTTTTTCATTTAGCATGTTTTTGAGGTTCATCCCTGTGGCAGCATGAATCAGCACTTTTTTCCTCTTTATTGCTGAATAATATTCCACTGTATGAATATGCCACATTTTATGTATCAATTCACTAGTTGATGGGCATTTGGCTGCTTTCGCATTGTGTTATTTTGAAAAATGCTGCTATACAAATTTTTGTATGGACATAACATTTTGACCACCCTACACAAATTTTTGTGCAGACATAATATTTTCATTGTTGGGCCATATGATGATATGCTCAACATTTCACATAAGCATATTCTATGCTTAACATTTTGAGGACCTGCCTATTTTCCAAGGTGTGCCAGCCACTCCTGAGGTAGAAAAGCAAAGGCCTATTTTGTTTTCTGAGAAACAGTGAAATAGTGTCTTTTTTAAAAAAAGGATAAGGCCATAACCTCAAAAGGCATAACATTAGTTTGAAACAGAACTATAAGCAGAGCATTGGAATTTGGTGATTAAAAAGCCCATGAGTGACAAAAGATGGACCCCAAGATGAGGCTGCCATTCCTTGGCTTAGTGATCCACCTTCTGGCATATTTCTGAAGACTCTAGCCTTTGCATGGTTTGTTGGCAGTTGTATTAAAATCCCACACTTCCATCTTATTAAATGTTGAGATAGCCGCTTTCAGGAAGTTTCTACTATTAGGACGTTTGATATAATACATCAAAACATTGGGGTAAATGAAGATACAGAAATTAGATATAGATATGAAATTTATTATTTAATTCTATCTTTTATTATAGATTTAGGGAGGACAATATTATTTCAATTTAAAATAGAAAATTTCATCAGCTGTTCTTAAATTACTTGGGACAGATATTACATCTTGCTCATTGTTCTATCCCTTGTCTTTAATCATAGGGGCTAGAGAGGCAATGACAATTGTTGAATTGAAACTAAATCACCTTTACACAATATTCTAGTAATTAATTTTTAACCTGCTATACATGAACTAAAACTAAAGTCTATGCACCCAAAATGCAACATATGAAACCACTGTGTGGGGATGTGTATGAACATGTATGTGAATATGCTTCTCAACCTGCAGTTTAACTGACTTTATGAAATAATTATAAGTGATAAGCACTTCAGAAAATACACGGTGAATATTTTCTGTTTCAGCAGGTTCCTTTCCCTGGAGGACAAAGCTGAAGTACTCCTTTTACAACATTCTAACAGAAATCTATAAAGGCAAATTAAAAAAGAATACATATTTTTGCACACAGGTTTCATTTTTCCTGAAAAGACTGTAAAATCATGTATTCCTGTCCAGGGATTTGGTGGTTCTATGCTAAGCTCAGAAAGCAAAATGCATTTAGTTTTTCTGTTAGAACTACTTGAAATAAAGGCAGTCACCTTCTAAAAGGACATATTGCATGCAGTGACAAATATCAGGTACAGTTATAAAAATTCAATACTATTAATATTAGATGGCTACTTTTCACCAATTCCTCAAAGAATGTGATTTAATTTTTTAATGTGAGATTCACAGTTTTTTCTAACATGCTAATAGTATGACAGATTCTTATCTTGGATGTGCAAAAAAGCTCAATAAGTCAATAGCATTTTTGCAACACACAAATATATTTTTCTCTAGTTGGCAAAGAACATGCTGCCCTGTAGATTTCCTTTGTCAATACAAAGCAAAGTATATTTCAAAGATTAGATTTATAGTCTAAGAAAACAATCATGACATTGAAACAAACATAAATGGATAAAACTTTTGAAATTTTTTGAACTAAGAAATATTTAAAAAGAATTAAAATATATTTAAGTTTTTGTTCATGCTTCAAAGAAATATGGCTATCTATGTTTTATGTTAAGATAAACTAGAGGCAGTGCTTAGCATAAAATGTTCTGTAATCCTGGTTGAAATTAGCAATTTAAATTTGCTGAATGAGGTTACGGTGCAATATCTAACGCACAAATCATAGAGATTTGAGTACTTGCATAGTTGTTAAAAAAATGTATCAAGAAGCCATAGGTTAACAATAATGAATTATTGTTTAAATATGCAATCTTTGATAATCATTTATTTGTTTTACAAATGCATTGGGGGGCTAAAATTTTTCAATTCATCTGTGACAAAGCATGAAATTCAATATTGCTCACCATGACCAATCCATGAAATTTGTCAACTTTGTTCCTGATTTTCACAGGGCCTTCCTCTTAGATGAAATGACGCATTGAACTGAGAGCACAGCAATTTTTTCATCTATGGTAAATCAGTTTAGTTTCCTAGGATTTATTATGGGCTTCAGACTTGAGCTTTTTATGATTATGAACCATTATGTACATAATATCAACCGTATGGCAATTTATCTCACTGTTTCTTTCCCTTTCTGAAAGAATTCTCCATTTCTAAAAGTAGCTCTCAACTTGGGTTGCTAGAAGGAACACTCTGTAAACAATGGGCTTATTGAAAGTCAGAGTAGGTAAAAATTACATGGAAACTGAAATCAAAGCAGTTAATTACCTTAGAATATCTAATACAAATGTCTCAAAATTTATGGAAAATTAAGATTCGTAAATTGCTTTTACCAGAATGTTTTGCAAAGAAACACTTGACCTGATTTATTCTTAGAAATAGACACATGTAAAATTTTTACTACCCATGAAGATACAAGTATGTAGTTAAAAAAACGAAAGTGGAGGAGGATATAAACAAAATGGTATTAATGTTTTATTATAAGAGGACTATTCTAACCTCCTCTATAACATCACAGATCTGAATTGAATTAACAAGAAATCAAAAGTAATTTCATGTTTCTAGATTTCTCTAAATCTTATTTATACAGCTAAGTAAAATATTTCCACATTTAAAAATTTAATTATTATTTCTATTTCCATTTGCCATTACTAGTTGAGGTACATCTCAAATATAGTTTTCTTTTTCATAGAGTATCAAAAAATCACTGTGATAATTAGGCCATCAATATAATTTGATCATTTAAACAACCCAAATAGTGAAGCTAAAAATGTTCCTGATTGTATCAGAACTTTATCGGCTGAATGGGATTGACGAATAGAGACATAACACATTTTTGGGCACTGAGTTGCATTGAGAATTATGAAATCCTTGTTGGTTGGTGTTAGTTTTAATAAATTGCCTAGTTCACAGTCTCAAAAATGCACTTCAAAAGATTTCTACTTGTAATTTCACATTATTCAATAAGTGTTATGACAATAACTTTGTTAATCACATTATTATATATCATAATAGGTAAAAGGAAAATACATTTGATACTTACTTATATAATTCTGTTAATGGTGAAGTCAAAATGACTAATGTTGTAAACAGATTATTACAATGGGTATGAATTTTAAAAATTGTATTATCTGTATGCTCATGAGGATTCAAAAGTTTTTGTACAGATGTACAAACTGACCATAACATGTTCTCAGTGCATATTAAAATTGTTGTGACATCAAGTCTATTGGAGAGAAAGAAAAGAAAATCATGTTAAACAAAATAATGTTTCTGTTTGGTAGGCACTTTCATTCATATCTCTTATAGTAAGCATATGTAAGAATAGAAAAATTCAGTTAGACACAGGAGCTTCAGAGATCAAAACCAAATAGAAAGTATAAAAGACACTCTTTGAGTTTCTGTGTGTTAGGTGACCCACAATACCATTATCTTTAGGGATGGTGAGCTCTGTAATAGTGTTTTAGGAGTGCTTTTAAAGAAATGTTTATTTTACATTATTAGAATTCTGTTCAAAAAATTCAAGAGATCCCAGAAATTACACTGAGCAAAAGAGAAGCTAGATGAAAAGAAAAATTTGCTATTATCCATATATATGCAAGATAGTTTAAATTCGAGGGCAAAACGATTCTCACTCATGTGTAAGCTGTCAAAAAAAAAGTTCGAAGATTGGTAACGTTTTCCTAGCAAGTGGGAAATGAGAAGAAAAGACAAACAAAGCTCAAATCAAGAAGCCTATAGTTTCAGAAATGTTTAATATTAAATAAATATATGGAAAATATGCTGTTTTATTTATCTTACTCACAGACTTATTTCTTTGTTTTCATCTTTCTTGAGTTTTAATAAGGACTCAAAGATCTTTTTAATTATTAGTTTGGCATATAACTAAATTGAACAGATCTCAGTTTGTTTCTTCTTTTTTTCTTTTAAATTCAGGGGTGAAGGAAGCAGAAGATGAAAAGTTTGAAGCGATAGGAAAAATGTAAGTTTGAGGATCTTTTAAAGTGACACTTTTGCCTCAAATTTATTATATATAAAATAAATATTATATAATAATATGTGACACATATAAATCATATATATGGCTTGATTATGTGACATTTGGAGGCTACTGGAATATAAAAATAATCAATAATGGCCTTTAGAAAGGTTTAATTTGAGTTTGTATATGCTTTTTCTAATTGCTAGATAAATAATTACTAATTCAATATATAGGTAGACACACACACACACACACACACACACACACACACAATCTGATTCCATAATAATGGTGGTTTAGGATTAACCAAATAAAATTATTTATATATTTTACTTATAAAAACTAGAAGCAATACTTCTAGCATTGCATGACATTTTTATGTAACCACATAGAAAATAAAAACTGAAAGTCTCCATTGTACAGTAATTAATTAAATATATGACCCATTTCTACCTATTTCATGAGCTAACAGTAAAGCTGATTTCAAAAATATCTCATAATGACTTGCCATTTCATAATCAAAAGTGATTTATGCTACCTAAGGAAAAGAATGAAGGTATTCTTTGCTTTCAAAAGGAATTTTCCATCTATTCTTCAGAGTTCAATTTTTTTAAAAAGTCTGGTCAGTAATTCAAAACAGCCTGTGCAAAATACCATATTTATGAAACACTGCAGCAGGACCTAAATGCCCCTCAAATGGCAGTATGCTTTACAAGAACATGATCAGGAAATGATTCCTCCTGCCAGAAAAAAAAAGAAAAAAAAAAAAGCCTAAAAAGCCTCTGATGTCTGTAGGTTTCTTCTAAAATATATCTGAAAAAAGTTTATTCTATCTAAAAAATCTGAATCATATTACACAGAATATTTACAACAAAAACCTTTTCTTCATATACATACAAGACCTTTTTAGTCTTGTTAAGCACATTCATATATTCATTGCCTATAACTCATAGAATTGTACTATAATTCAGTCTTATTTAATAGTCAGTGACTGTTGCTCCTTATTTTCTGTGCTTTCATACTTCGTTGAACTGGCTTTTTGTAATAAACAGTGAAAATAAAAGGAAAAAAGAGAATATATTAGGAAGAAACATAATTAGACAAAATAGTTTTCTTAATGAAGATAAACTTCTATATTTAAAGGCTTAAGAAAAAACAACTAAAAATCTCCTGGTTGCCTAGAAGCTCAAAATCAAATTAGTCAAATTGACTGCTCCATCATGGCATGGATGTTTTGTTATCAATTTCAGGGCCTTAATTTTCTATTTTTATCTTATTAACTTTTGTAGATCTATGTCCTAAGATTATAAGATACCTTGAATCATTCTTTAGAAGCAAGTGGGTTCTATAGACAATTTTAAGGAGTAAAAAAACAAAATTATTTTGATTCAGATTTCATATTTTTACTTAACTAACTCAGGAAAGTAGAATATGATTTATTTTCAGATGTTACAAACATGTTAAATATATAGGGAGTATGCCATGAGATTCAGAATTACATTCTGCTTTATACCAACTGATAAAAAGTTTTTTTAAAAAGCAATGTTTTTCAGAACTACAATTACCTTAACTGTGGAGTTCTCTTATGGCTGGGGTGAGCCCGGGCATATCTGGAGGCAAGTAGACCCAAAGATTTCTCCAGCACTTCTGCTAGAATCTCCTGGGCTAACTTAGGAGGCAGAATGGTCCAGAGATCATGATGAAGAGCCCAGCAGAAATAATGCCACATCTGGATCGAGAAGGAACATCTTTCCCCCTGGCAAAACCACCACATGTTAAACCATAGAATTACATCTTCCAAAATGTCAATTTCCTTCCTATGAACCTAATTAGTTCAGGCTGAAAGGAAATAGCTAAAGAGTTTGACACACTAGCAGACCAACAAAGGTTTTTGACAAAATGTAAAATATCCTTATTGACAAAGGAAAAGATGTTTTATTTAAATTATGAGACTAGATATTCTAGTGCAATCCAGACCACAAATATTTAACCTTGATTTACCTACTCCTAACCTACGGTTTAAAATTTATTTTAAAACAACTTGCTTTGTAGTTGCTGAAAAAGACATGCTAGCTTGTTTAAGACAGTGGACTGATTCTTCTAAAATTAAAATCTATTTAAATCATTTCAGTAGGTATATTTTTCTGAGCCTATTAGCATCACTGAGGTAATTTTATAAATGTTTCAGATTTCACATAATAGTGAAGTGACAGGAGTAAAAAGAAACTCAGATATTGCATTCTTAGGAACATTCTTGAAACCAAGGGGGATGGGTAACTATCAAAGATTATTACATTAGGCTATTTTGTCTATGTTATTTAAACAACAATACTAGAAACAGATAACCACAAAAGTCTGAGTTTACAAGATTCTTTAAAGCCTAAGCACATATCATCATCTCTTAGCATTTTTTATGGCATTTCCTACTTTTAAAGGGTCATATTTTCATTATTTTCCATCCCTGTACAGATCTCTTCTGTGTGCCAAATTTTCTGATTGCAGAGGAAGAGCTAACAATGGCCAAGGCAAAGGGGCACAGGCAGAAAGAAGGTGGCCTCAAGTGATTTACAAGCATTAATCAGGTAAAGGGTCCTCTCAGGAAGGTATGCTAGTAGTTTCACCTCATTTTCTTTAAATCAGATCAAATAATTATTTGAAATAGAAAGATGAAAATGCATTCCTCAAGCATTATCTTGATTATGCTAATATACCAAAAATTAAACTAGTAAAATTTCCTCTTATATTCCAAGTGATTATCTCTTACTTAAAATTTCTGCTTTGTCCACTATTTGTATTTGTCAGACAAATGTCATCTAAAAAAAAGTCTGCTGTTGTTATGCTAAAAGTTGATAGTTTCTTATGCAGACACTCTCTTTAGGATTTTCTTTATGTATTACTCTTCCGGTAGTTTCTTTGATTACTAATATCTTCTGCAGTCACTGTAACAATAATAATTTATAGTTATTATCTACTGACTTCCATATAGCATTAATAAATGAGTAGAATTTGTATTCCTTGGGTAAGAAACTTGGGCATCAAAATGTCAGAGTCAAGTTCAAACTGGAGGGGACTTTGGCCACTGGCTTCTGATTTCCTAATTAGATGTGTATCTAAACTCTTTAAGAAAAAGAAATTGCAAAACTAATGCTGAAGCAGCAAAGTTACAGTTTCTTATGCTTTCTTTGTTGTGTGTTTTGATAAATACTTTTTCAACTAAGAAAGGAGTTTTAACACTTGATTCTCTCATACTTTTTGTGTTGCATGTAAATTAAGCCAAAACTGACCCCAGCTGATACAGTGACTAACATGAATGATTTACACGAATTTTCCCCATGGCAATGGGTGGGTTCCTATTGTAACATTATCAGAATGATTTCTCGTGTTCTTCAAAATATGAATAAACCACTTTCCTTAATAGCTATCATTTAGGCCTGGCACGGTGGCTCACGCCTGTAATCCAAGCACTTTGGGAGGCCGAGGCGGGTGGATCACGAGGTCAACAGATTGAGACCATCCTGGTCAACATGGTGAAACCCCGTCTCTACTTAAAATACAAAAAATTAGCTGGGCATGGTGGCGCGTGCCTGTAATCCCAGCTACTCAGGAGTCTGAGGCAGGAGAATTGCCTGAACCCAGGAGGCGGAGGTTGCGGTGAGCCGAGATCGCGCCATTGCACTCCAGCCTGGGTAACAAGAGCGAAACTCCGTCTCAAAAAAAAAAAAAAAGAAAGAAAGAAAGACAAAAAATAGCTATCATTTAGTGATAAATGGGAAAATAAAAGTAACTTTAGGCACACAGATTTCTTCTCTTAAAAGTAAAAAATAATTATTTTAAGACTTTTAAAATATAAACTTCATGCTTAAAGTATTTCAAATAGGTCTTTGTTCTAACAATTATTTTAACTTCAATGTACGCAAGGGTTTTCATTAAACTAAATGTGATTCGTTTATTTTTCTGACCTGTCTCCTTATTTGTTGTCATTTCAAAAGTATTCTGCTAGTAAACATCTGTTATTTTTGCAGACCCGCTAGAATGTAAACAGATGTGAGCTTTTATTTAGATTATATATCAGGAAACAAGCAGCTGGGCTTTATTATAGAAGCACTCAATATTATCTTTGAACAGACAATTCTTTATTCTTTGACTATTGGAAAACACAAGTTCCTAAAACTGAGCAGATGTCAACTATACTAAAAGCTTAATTTTAAACATGTAATCGGAACACCCACTGTGCCATCGTGACCGGTACCTCATCAGAGAGATACAGAATTCTTTGACTCTCTCAACCTGACGTTTAGAAAATGGAAATAATGTATCTGCATCTCACTTGCTATCACAAAACATGAGCAAATATTGCTGCGTATCTTGTAAATTATTTTACTATTTCTTTACTATGCTCTGCACATGGTGATAGGTTCCCTTGAGATCTCTATCCTACCATTCACCTCCAGTCAGGCAGATATCATCTTTTTCCCACTCAAACCAAGCCTGCCAAAAACATAATAGTTCTGTTTCACAAATCAGTTGGAATAATGGGGAGAGGAGAAGAAAGGGGTGCAGTAAGCAAGATAAAACCATGTCAGGTACTCCAGTTGTCAAAACAGTTTAAAATCAGTGATATTTTTAGAAGGTTCTTATTTCTGATACATAAAAAAGCAGTAACACTTTATTTTTCTGAGAATAAATAACAAACTAACTCTGCAATTAAATTGTAACTACTGACCATGTAAGTATATGGAAGCTACAGTACCATGTAATCACAGGGTAACTATCTTGTTATTTCCGTCTTTGAAGCTAAAGCCTTGTCATAAGATCTAAGAGCTGCATGTTACATGGTAATTTGTTGGTTTTTAAAATACTTGGTAACTTCAATAACAGGTTCTCAATGCATCCACTTATTTACACTGTACAACTCTTCTAGCTCCCAATTTGCATAAGAGGAAACATAACACCCCTATGTTGAACATATAGTGAGATGATACCTGTTCTTCATGGAAAACATCATATAAAATTGCTCATTAGTAGTACACTGACATATTGAAATAGTTTGAAACATGAGACGGATTCATTTTCAACCACTCTGTTTACTTCAAGGCAAATAAGGAAAATATGATGTTGCCAGGAGAGGGGAAGACCAATACTTTCATTCTTATCTCAGGCTACCAGCTGCACCCTACCACTTTCTTTCTCATTCTGCTCACTGCTTCCATGACTGTTTGAAGTATGTCAGATTTGGAAAACTCTATTTGGATGCTCTTGCAAAAAGAAAAACTCTCTGGGAAGGGCCTCTAAAGGAGAGATGAAATGGCCTTAGAAAAAGTGGAAAGTTCTTTAAGAGAGCTTCTTATTAGCTGCTCCTCTCTGTTGTAGCAACATTTATTATGATAATAACTGAGGCATAAATGAAACCACAGGAATCTTCAGTGCCTTCGAGGTGACAGGAGCGATTCTGTTGAATAAAGCTCTGCTATGTTTTTCTCAATACGCTATAGTGATTAGGACAATCAAGAAAATGAAAGTCATAAACTTCAGTCTAAAGGAAAAGGTAAAATGGAAAAGTTAATGAAGCTGGGCATGGCTGTTGAATTTTTTTTAAAACCCTGATTACTAAGATATTATAAATGTTTCACTCTGCCCTGGAATCAACTTCAAGGAATTTCAAATATTGTGGCCTGTGCATAATCAATGAGATTTAGGTGAAGGAAAACCAATGAAGCTTGATGATGAATAATTTTAATTGATCCTGGGTTTGGTTACACTGGGAATCATTAGGCTTCAATTTGCTAAAATCTGGGATTTCAAAACACAGGCTAAATGAAAATAGGTAAGATATAAATGATCAGATGAGTCCTTTTTTTTTTGAGATGGAGTCTCACTCTGTTGCCCAGGCTGGAGTGCAGTGGCTGGATCTCAGCTCACTGCAACCCTGTCTCCCAGGTTCAAGCAATTCTCCTGCCTCAGCCTCCTGAGTAGCTGGAATTACAGAAATACACCACCACATCCAGCTAATTGTTTGTATTTTTACTACAGACGGGGTTTCACCATGTTGGCCAGGCTGGTCTCAAAGCCCTGACCTCAAGTGATCTGCCCACCTCAGCCTCCCAAAGTAGCAGGATTACAGGCATGAGCCACAGCGCCCGGCCTCAGATGGGTCTTAAAGCATACTCATAAGAACATATTATGAGAATGAAAAAAATAAGTATAAAGAATAAAGCTGCTTAATAAAAGGTATTTATCAAACACAGATGGAAATATATAACAAGAAAAAATGCAAGGATATCCATAACTAACTGGTCCTTTTGGAAAAAATACAAGGTTGTAGTATTTTGGCATTGTTATCTCTTTGAGTTTTCATTGTATCCCATTATATTCCAACTTATATAGCACTGCAACATTGCAGCTCAAATGAGGTTATTTTTACTTTTAAGCAGAAGGAGAGTTCTGATGTCTAATTTATTTCAGGTTTTTAAAAACAGTGTTTTTCCTAAGTATGAATTCAATATTTAAAAAATATTATCCTAACAGCCTTCATGTATTAGTAATGCCAAACTCATGTTTCTAATTAGCCAGAAAGCAGGTAAAACATATTTGTGTAAAAAGGAAGGATAGTAAACTTAACTTCACACCTCATAAAAAGCTTTGTAGTCATCCCAGTGGTGGCTCTCAGCATCCTGTAAAATGCTTGTAGCACAAACTCTGACGCAGTAGTTCGTAACCTGAAACTGTAGAGTGTTGATGAATTCCTGATATCGTTGGACAGGCACCAGGAATATGGGTCTGTTCAGAGAGAATGATCAAAGAGACAGAGATTTAAGGCCTATGTAGTAGGAGATAACAATCTCCAGTACTACAAATGGTTTTGATTATTCGATATCAATCATTCATTTCCTCTTAATGCTGAAGTTTGCATCCACATCCACATTCACTTTCCAAAAATGAAAAAAAAAAGCTGGTCTTTGTTTCACAAGCCCTTTGAAAACATACATCTGCTGTTCTACAAATACACACTTCAATTTGAGACAAACTGTATTGTCAATACATCATTCAAAACTAAAAGTATTCCTTGTAAGCCTATTATTAGAGATCAGTGCATTATTTAGGCATTAGGTTATTGTTATTACTAGAGAACAACATGCACTTGTCAGAACCAACTTTTATAAAGCTATCAAATGTCCCAAAAACACATTATTTTTTAAAATTATAATTTTGTAGATATCAATTATCTCATAAACTGTTTTTATAAATTCTACAGAAATATTAAAATGATTTCTGGCACATTTTGTTTATAAATTCAAGCATGAATCACAACATCTGACTACTTACAAGAATTAAAGATATATCACAGTTACACCGTAACCAAATTCATTTTACTTTTATCTTTAGCTATGAATATTACACTGCTTTCTTTCATAACCAAAGGGCTATAAAGGCTGGATAAAGATTATAGAATAGATTCTTGGGGTCACAAGGGACTGCTAAGTCCACATGTTTCCTTTGCAAGAAGCCATATTATATCTAGAGAGTGTAAGGGCAACCAGAAAGACCGTGTGATAATTAATGCCTGTGGTCATTTTTATCTCTATACAGAAAACATACTGCAGTTTTAGACTACAAATACATGAAAATTAAGACTGCAGATGCTTTCTCTTCAAATATTACCGTTCATTACTAAATGGCTGTCTTGAAATATGTTTATATTGATCATTAGAATAGATTACAATGCATTTATTTTCTAAGTCTGCTCCATGAGACAAGTTTATTTTTCCTTTTCAGTGTGGTCAGTATAATGCACCTTACAAAATGAAAGGATGCGTTTACTCATGTAGTAACAACATGCCAGAAATAGTTGCGCTGGATTAGGGTGTAACTAGGGTCTTTTGAGTGTGCCTTTAGAGAGAGTACCTTTCTTTCTATTATCTAGTTTAATATATCCCATACTCCACCTTTTTGATATTTCCTAGTTAAGACAAATGAAAATAATTCACCATGTTAATTATTATTTTCTCTTTCTCAAATCTTATTATCAAAATTTCATTCCTGTGATATCCAAAATACCACCTTTCTTTAAGCGTGGCCATCAACTTAATTTAAACAACACTCACTTTTTAGTAATTTCCTTCATCAAATTATCATATTGCTTGAAATACTGGAAGACATACACCGCTGTGGAGAGGAGTGTGTGCAAATTTTTCAGGGGAGCTTTGGAAGGAACCTCCTTGGCTCTCTCTTGCAGTCTCTGCAGGACAGCTGTTGCCACTTTACAACAGGCTTCCATCAAGTTTGCTCTAATTTCCTGAAAAGAATCATCTCTGCATGCCAGAGCCAGTGGAAGCATTGTGTCAAGTTTTTCCGTGATGTCAGAACAAAACTAGGGAGAAATAAATGTGGCACTGAGTTATTTGTATCCTGACAGCACCAACTAATTTATGGACAGTGGAGCCAAATTCCTAAATAATGAATTTGGCATCAAACATAAATATAATGATGCAGCTTTGTAATAATCTATTTCTCAGTTGTAGAAAGTTAAATGTTTTATGTCAAATAAGGAAATACCAAAATGATGCTTCTCTACATATAACCTTCAAACCTTATGCTTACCAGACAGACATTATGAAAAACTCATGAGCCAGCTTTACATGATAATACTTTTATTTGTAGTTAGTAGGACTCAGAAAATATATATCCTTGATATTAACATTTGCATTATTTTTTAACTTATGCTAATTTTATTTTGCTAAATTGCCATAAAGGTTTTTAAAAATTAAATGCCACATATAAATGTCAGTTTAATTTAAATAATCTAGAAGAATCAGAAACAATGTCATGTAGCATCCTCTTATTGGTAGGGTGTCAGCAACTTTTAGAAGTGATGAGTCTAGCCTTTCACTATTTATTACGTATCTTCTCTTAATGGCAGAAGGGAGGTGTGGTGAATGGAAAAGTAAAGCCTGTCTCTACATTGGATCAGTCAACAGAGTTCCCTAAGGAATGTTCTGGAGCCTTAGTGTGACAGTGGCAGAATAAGGAGGCCATCTTCAATTCTCTTTTAAGAATATCCCAATCATAGGTTGCTGAACTCATTCTGGGTTTAATGCCAAGTGACTATATTTACCTCCTATTTTCTCGTTGTGTTCTGTGACTTTCAAAACACCTATGGAGATGTAAGACTGATACTAATGAGATGAAAAGCTCATTAAAGTGTTAACAAAGATTTTTTAAGTGCCCAAACCAAGAAAAGACAGTAACTCCTTCAACCTCCTAAATTTTCCTGGAGTCATTCAAAGGTGTAATCAAAACAGGTGGTTTTCCCAGGGTTCCCCAGCTCCCCATGAAGTCACAGATGCCCCTTTTTTGTTGCCTCAGATTCATGGAGCAACAAGCTAGCACCAGGTGTAAGTCCTTTTGGGCAGCAGTGGCCTGGGGATACCACTGAAGAAAACTGGTACTGGGTCGAGTACCAACTATTTGCCAAGGGACTCCATTTGATCTACTGTACTAGCATACTAAAATAAATCCATCATGCCAGTCAGCAGTTTGAAAGGATTTCATATACTTGCTTTTCCAATTTTCTTTGGTTGTTCCTCCTCAGGAAACATATGGCTGTCTTGCCAAACTTGCTGGACATTTACAAGGTTCATAGTATAACTCACAGCTGAAGACCTTTCATTTTGTTCCTGTTGGAGAATTTTTTCAGAAAAACTTTCAATTGCAGTTATTATGCAGTGTGCCATGGGAAGAGACACTTCTTTAAATGCACTTCTCCAGTCAAAATCTAGTAAAATAGCCTGAAATATAAATTTATATGAAGTCATGTTAATCTTAATTGAGCAACAAATGTTTCCATTGTTATAGATATAAAATTATTACTTTCATTCAACATGTTGAATATATTCTTTGATATATTGTAGAAGCCCATTCTTACAACCTAAAAAATATTACCTAGTGAATGAAGCAATATACAAAAACATGTGCATTCTTTACACACAGTAATATACTAACATTTCATTTTAATTCATCAGCAGATTTAATAAAAAACTTTTTAAAAAATTTAATCTCTTAAATATAGTTTAATAACACCATCTTTACAAGAGCAGAAAGCTACACTTACTATTTATCACATAAAACAACCTTTAAATTCAATATATTTAATAAAGTCTAAATTAGATTTTTATAGTCTTTTTTATAGTTTATTGTTAACAACTATTGAAACATAAGACAGCATTTAATATTCAACCTTTTATTTCCTTTTCACTCCAGACAAGCCAAAAAATAGCAATAAGAAACAAATATCTCAGCGAAAACACACCAGTGCACTTTCTAGATTTTTACTTGCTTAGAATTTTAGTCTCTTCAGCTGCAAAGTCATAAGCAGCACTACTTTTGTTCTAAGAATGAAGAATTGAAATAATCTGCACTGTTGTGTTGTGGTGACAGGGGGTGGTACTTGGAAGGGGGTAGAAGGAGTTGAGGTACAGGCTGATGTTTTCTTTTTTTCCTTTGGTCTGTGGCTCATAAGGCAATATATTTATAAATGTATATATATTCATAAATGCATATTTCCTCCAAGACTCCTAACATTCTAACATTCTCTAAAGTTCAAAAGCATTATGGGTACTAGGCTGAACCTATGCTTAGAATTAAACTTGCCCTGTTTTAGAGTAACTTTGTTTATACTAACGTGCCACCTACCTCAACTTCAGAAAACCCTGAGCTCTACGTCTCTGATTGAATCACTTATTTTTCTTGATCTCAAGGGGTTTTTTGCCAGAAAAACAACAGAGCCAAACTGTATAATTTCTTTGGCCCCTTTTATTCTAAAATTACTGAAATTATAATCATAAGCCTGATTTTCTTATATGTACAACCCATTCAGCAATAATTTATTCTTTACATATCTGTACAAAGTAATAAAGGTAATTCATTTCTTAAAGCTAAAATTATATGATTCCGACTCTGATGACTCATGTCATCAGAAAAAATGGCTTTTGTGTTCATCACGCTCGTAACTAAGTTGTAATGGACCTTTCTAAAGGCTATTTGGATCTCAAGCATCATAGGGCCTAAAACACATCTCTCTTATCTTATATTTGCATAAAATTTGTCAAAAATGGGCCAGGTGTGGTGGCTCATGCCTGTAATCTCAGCACTTTGGGAGGCTGAGGTGGGCAGACCAGGAGATTGAGACCATCCTGGTAAAACGGTGAAACCCCATCTCTACTAAAAATACAAAAATTAGCTGGCCATGGTGGCACATGCCTGTAGTCCCAGCTACTTGGGAGGCTGAGGCAAGAGAATTGCTTGAACCCAGGAAGTGGAGGTTGCAGTGAACTGAGATTACACCACTGCACTCTAGCCTGGGTGACAGAGTGAGGCTGTGTCTCAAAAAAAAATTCATCAAAAATTGAATCAACTCAACTGATATCATCTTTCTTATAAGAGAACTTAGAAGTGGCATAGTTCTAACCCTGTGCTATAAGCGTAATTCCCTGGGACACATTTATGAAAGAATGTAAAAATAAAACTACCTCCATAAAAATCCAAACTAAAAAATTTTAAGTTTTGTTTTCCCTATCAGGGCACGTCTATTCACTAAAATTATTCATTTATTCATTCAAGCAAATATGTCCTGGTGGAAAATGTCATTAATTGCCATGGCTGCATTGAATTTTGAAAAATTTTTTGTGCAGTTAAAGTTACCTTTGCCTATGATAATGTAATTATAATATGTTGGCCTATCTGAATTCTCTTTTCAAAATATAGAAAAGCAAGTACATTAACAGCTGCTCTTAAAAAGAAAACTTAAGGCCAGGCATGGTGGCACACACCTATAATCCAGAACTTGGGAGGCCAAGGCAGGTGGATCACCTGAGGTCTGGAGTTCAAGACCAGCCTTGCCAACAAGATGAAACCTGTCTCTATTGAAAATATAAAAATTAGCTGGGTGTGGTAGTGGGCACCTGTAATCCCAGGTACTCAGGAGGCTGAAACAAGAGAATCACTTGAACTCGGAAAGCAGAGATTGCAATGAGCCAAGATTGCGCCACTGCAGTCCAGCTTGGGTGACAGAGTGAAACTATGTCTCAAAAAGAAAGAGAGAGAGAGAGAGAGAGAGAGAGAGAGAGAGAGAGAGAGAGAGAGAACTGAAAACCTTTACTTATTCAAACCTCCAATAGTTTATTCTTGTGAAATATAATTTGTTTACTTCTACTCTTCTTTTCTGATATTTGGCATCATACATATTCCATTTAGACTAGAGAACATTTATTAGTTGATACAAGTAAAAAGAGAGAATCACACAGTTTTCTCTTTTACACACAAAGTAGATAATCTGTTGAACCTCTGTTTTCTATTATATAATGCTAATTTCTTAGTACTGATTTTGATTTTTGGTTAAAGCATAATATATAATTTAGGATCTTCCTGATTATTTCTCTTGCTTCCTAGGATAAAACTGTTAAAACTATACGCTGTTTTGTCTCTTTAAATATTTACCTGGTGTATCAGTCAGGGTCCATTCTTGAGTAAGCAGAAATTACTCAAGATTTTTCAAAAGGAAGAATTTTAATGTAGGGTTTTGGTTACCTTTGTGATGGAAGATTTGAGAAGTCAAACATGGACTGTTAAGTAGGACGGATATTAATAGAGCAGGAGGCCACAACCACCCCTAGGGCTGGAGGAACAAAGAAAAGGGATTAACTTATGGGAGATTAGCTCGGGGGGCTACCAGTTGAAGCTAAAGACCAAGCAGACATGCCAGGTGGAACTGAAGTCAGGCAGGTCAAGCTGCATGGTGGGAACAGGGCTCACAGTGAAGATAAAGGTGTCACAGGGATTATCAGAGATGCTCCTTAAGACAGAGCGAGGAGAGGAAACACTCTGGTTTCTCTGCAACTCCTACACTCTTGTCAGTGCCTTCCAACAGGTCTTCCATCAATGCCTTTAACTGGCTAAACTGTCCCAAAATCCAGAAAGTAAGGGGGCCTGGAAAGTGTAATTCTCTACAATCTAGAGCAGAGCAAGGAATGGTGACAGATCTTGGAAACAAACAATCACAGGATGGGTGTCAAAAATATGAGGCCAGTTGAGATGATTGTTTCTTTTCCTTTTTAATCTCCACTTTTTTACTTTTCAACAATTATCTATAGCCCACATCCTCAAAGTGCAAACCCTGAGTCAGGATAAAAACAAAGATCTCTTAACTTCCATCTCTCTATTCCAACCATGGAACAGATTTTGCAAGAAGACAGTATCCCCACTAAACTGAATTTTCATTAAAACCTATAAGCCAATTTTCAATCTGAAATTGAAAAATTATTTTTTGTAGCAAGCGGTAAAAGTCAAGATATTTTTATTCATATGGATTTACAGGCATATGATGATGATATTAAATTAAATGTGAATTAAAAACACTCTTTTTTACCCTTCACTTACCTCTTTTCCCGGTAGCAATTCCTCTGAAGAAATATTAGTTTTGTTTGCTCTAGGTTTTTCTCTTACAACTTCTCTATTGGATTTCTCCAAAATTCCTAAGCAAAAAAATGAAAACAAACACACAAATATATATTGTTTAAAAACATACTAGATGTGATTAATAAATTCAGATAAATATTAACTATGTAGAAAGCTCTATCCATAGTACATACATACAATACACACCCACAAATATCAATATGTAGAGAATATAGTCAAAAAGATGCAGGCTGATGTCATCATTACAATAATGACAGAAGCAAGATAGAATCCTTTTCCACAGACAACTTGATGAAATCTACATTTCAGTTATATTCATGTTTGATGTACATAAACATATAAACTGAAGAGTAAAGATTTTTTGTCATTAATTTATTTTCATGTTGATAATGTAAGGTAAGACAACAAAATATATATTCATTTCCTTGTTCATTTAAAAAGTTAATTCTAAGGTACGACATTTTAAAATGGATGGTATTTCCGAGCATGTTAGCTTCAAACAAAGAACAAAAATACATAAATAAATATCAGCATAACAAGAAAAATTATATCCTTAAGAATATCAGTGATTCATTCAAAAAACATAAACTCTGAGAGGCATAAAATAATCTCTAGCTCCAAAAATGGAAATATTTCCACAACTTTTATTTTTTACATTAAGAAACTCTTTTCCATGGGAAAAAAATGGATCTATAAAAATGTAATAAATACTCCAAAAAGGAAATCTTTCTACTTTTCCATTAAGGTTAGATTAATGATAATTTGATTCAATATGAATAATGTTTACCTTTTTTGGCTTAGACATGGTATATGATGATGAATTATATATTGTGATCTAACTTTCTTTTCTTTCCCCAAGATTTACCAAGAATCAATTTCTTTCTTTTTTTTTTGAAACAGAGTCTTGCTCTGTCACCAGGCTTGAGTGCAGTGGCCTGATCTCCGCTTACTGCAATCCCCCCCTCCTGGGTTCAAGCAATTCTCCTGCCTCAGCCTCCCAAGGTGAGTGCCATCATGCCCAGCTAATTTTTGTATTTTTAATAGAGACACAGTTTCACCATGTTGGCCAGGATGGTCTCAATCTCCTGACCTTGTGATCTGCCCACCTCGGCCTTCCAAAGTGCTGGGATTACAGGCGTGAGCCATCGCACCCAGCCCCAAGAATCAATTTCTTTATACCTGGACAAAGCAAATTTCAAAATCTAACTGATTTTATCAGTAGGGATTCTTACCAATAGAGTCATCTAGTAGATGCATGTTTTCTTTTCCTAAATGTGGCTCTATGAACTTAATTGTGAATGATTTCTAAGGAATAAAGTTGATGAAATAAAAGTGTTTTGTTCTGATATTAACTTCAACCTTCTTGCGCATAAAGTGTTTTAAAAGTAAAAATTCCATTTGGTTGGCTATAACATCACTATTTTGGGAAATGTTATCAGAGTCCATATCTTCTGAGGAAAAGTTTTCATCAACTCTAGTACTTCTTAATCATCTTTGGATTTGTGAACACATCTAAGAACATGATTAAAGTGACAGAACACTGCATACAAAAATGCACAGTATGACTGTATGGCAGGCACATGTGCATCACACACACACACACACACACACACACACACACACACAATTAAGGATTCCCAGGCCTTCTTGTAAATCTCATTTATTAACCCCATGGGCCCATGGGCTGCAGTTTAAGAATTCTGTTCCATTTCTCAAGACACATCACAACATAAAGTTTTAGACTCAGTGTTACACCATTTAACTTAAAATGCTTTTTTATGGCTAGCATTTTATAATGTCTTTTCAAGAAGATGGTGTTATAAATAAGGATCACTTCTAAGTGAAATAAAATCCAGATTAATCACAGATTTTTAAATAAAGAAAATTGAAACTGTAAGCCCCTTAAAAGAAAATATGGATTTTTAAAAAAAAAAGATTCACATAGAGAAGGCTTTCCAGGACACAAAATTCAGAAACCATAAAGTAAGTCTGCAACAATAAAAATACCATCGACTGTCAAAGTGGATATGACAAACTGACTTGCCAATCTTTCTCAAAATGTCCACTTTCTGAAAATTAGTAGTTTATTTTTTAGCAAAGTTTTCAGTTTACAGAAAAACTGAGCAGAAAGTTCACATATACTTCCTCCCTGCCCTCAGTTTCCTCTACTGTTAACATCTTACAATATATAGTATATATGTGACAGCTGATGAACAAATATAAAAACTTTATTAACTAAGTCCACAGTTTACATTAGGGTTCACTCTTTGTGTTTTGCAATTCTATGGGTTTTGCCAAATGTGTAATATCATGTACCCCTCATTACTCTGTCACACAGAATAGTTTCCTTGCTTTAAAAATCCCCACAATACCACTTATGCATCCCTCCTTCCCATATCCCCTTCCTGGTACCCACTGATCTTTATAGGACCTACTGTCTTTATAGTTTTCATAATGTCAAATATAGTTGGAATCATACAGTATGTAGCCTTTACACATTGGCTTCTTTCACTTAGTGATACACATTTAAGGTTCCTCCATGTCTTTTCATGGCTTGACATCTCATTTCTTTTTATTGATGAATAATATTCCATTGTATTGATGTACCACAGTTTGTTTATGCATTTATCTACTGAAGAACATTTTAGCTGCTTTGAAGTTTTGGCAGTTATGAATAAAGCTGCTATAAACATTCCTGTGTAGGTTTTTGTATGTACGTAAGTTTTCAATTCATTTGGATAAATACCTACGAGTGCACGTAATGGATCGTATGATAAAACTATGTTTAGCTTTGTAAAATACTGCCAAACCGTCTTCCAAAGAGCCTATACCATTTTGCTTTCCTAACAGCAATGAATGTGAGTTGTTCCGCATTCTTGCCAGAATTTGGTGTTGTAAGGGTTTTGGATTTTAGCCATTCTAATAGGTGTGTAGTGTCATCTTGTTTTAATTTGCATTTTCCTAATGACATGATGTTGAGCATGTTTTCATATGCTTATTTGCCATCTGTATATCCTCTTTGGTGAGGTGTCTGTTCAGATCTTTTATGAACTTTTAAATTGGGCTGTTTGTTTTCTTGCTGAATTTTAAGAGTTCTTTGTATATTTTGGATACAAGTTCTTTATCATATACGTGTTTTGCAAATAGTTTTTCTTAGTCTGTGGCTTATCTTTACATCCTCTTTATGATCATACCTGCTTATTTAGCAATTCCACTTTGGAAATTTACCCTCCAGATATAGTTGTGTACATATAAGAAATAGTTTAAGGAAATTTGCCATACCATGTTTTGTGTAGGCAAATGAAGAGGGGAAAAAAACCTTAACTGTCCATCAATGAATAACTGTCCATGGGACCATGGGGTTAAATCATGATACATGCACCAATGGAAAACTCTTCCTCTAGTAGAAATAATGAAGTGTTTCTAGATTTTCTAAATTGTTATAAAAGAGAACATCTACATAGTATGACAAGATTTTGAGTTACTTTTAATGTAGAGATATATATGAAGTAGTTACTCTTTCATTCTATTCAAAAGTTTTCAGTTTTTTAAAAAAGAAAAAATAATAAAGATTAAGTTATTAATGACAAGAAGGGACAACAATTGGATTCTTAATGTCACATTACTTTTCTGTAGATAGCTCATTTAAAAGGCATTTACTCTGGAAAAATAACACTAGATTGAAGTATAAGCTTTGCAGATCTGTTTCTGGAAGTAACTGCTATTGTGTAGCTATAGTTTAAGACTTACAGAAAAAGTGAATTATCTTGTATTTATCATTTCACTCCCAAATACATTATGTTTATTCACTCAAAGTCATGTGCTCAGATGTTTATACAAACCACCTGCCTATATTCAAGATGACTAAGGAAAAAAAGAAGCTTAAGACTTCTCTTGCTGGTGAGCAATTCTAGATACAGAAAATGAATTATCAAGCAATTATGATAGGCTTTAAAATAGAAGCCCTCTCCCTAAGTTAAAAAGGTTTTTAAAAAAACTTAATGCTGTACAGTGAAACAAAAGGGACCATCTTCAGGTAGAATTATTAACATAGAATCTACACTAAATCTACTGGATTTAACAAGTTGTGTCATTTTTACATTTGTTTGGAATTCAAAATGGTCAATTTTGAAATTTGGCAACGTAAAACTCTGTGAACTCTAAACATTTAGTGAATCATTTCACATATTTAAAAAATCTATTTAAAATTCTATTCAATTACTATCATTGTCTAGAGAAGATAGCCCACTTTTGGCTCCTCACTGTAAAATATAGTTATTTGCATGCAATCAATACTGGTTTCTTTAAAAGCATGCCTAGATTAAGAACCTCAGAAGAGTGCAGAGGGTCACAAGAATGCCAGCTGCTCAACAGCTTCCCCTACAGAGTTCTCTGTGGTTCGTTTTATACTTCTGGTTAGTTTCCACACTGCCGCTTTCTTTCATAGAGAGTAGAGGTTGGCAGTACTTCCCTGTGACATCCACTTTCACACCCAAATTGGTCTTCTTAGGTTCCCATTGTGTGCACTACAAAGCAACTTGCCTTGTTGGCAGCTCTAAGTGGGAACTACAAGTCTTTCTTTTCTTCACTGTTCTTTTTCTGGCTCACAAGCAACCTCCCACCAAAAGCTGAATCTGTAGAAGAGACTACATCCAAGAGATAATACCATGAAAAAGTATGAAGAGAAACCCAGGTGGCCACCTTGCAAATTTCCAATGTGGAAGCCTTCGACCTCTCTGCCCAAGAAACAGCTAAAGTCCTAGTGTAATGAGCTTTACAAACCCTAGGAGCCTCTTTACCTTAACTACATACGCCTCCCTAATACAATCCCTTAACCATCTAGCTAAGGAACTCTTAGAAGCCATTTGACCCCTCTTAAGACCCCCTAAGAGTACAAACAATCTTTCAGAAGATCTGAAATCTTTGATTCTTCTGAGACAAACCCTAAGTGTTCTTCTTACATCCAATTGAAGCAGCCATTGCTCTTTGTCATTGCTGGGGCTAAAGAAAAATGAGGGCCAAGGAACCTCCTGGTTTAGATAAATCTCAGATGCCACCTTTGGAAAAATTGAGGAACTGCCCAAAGAACAACTTTATTCCAAAGAAGCATTAGAAATGCCCCATAAATCAAATCCACGGCCACTCCATAAGATATCATCACCTAATACAGTAAGGCACCACAACAGTCAAATAATGTCCTATCATTTTCTGAAGTGACAAAAATAGAAAACCATCAAATCATGACCAAACAAAAGCAAATAATGACTAAATATTTTTTCTTTCTCAGAAAATATTTATTGTATCTCTACAAAATCTCTTGTCCACATTCAAATTACTGAGAGAATGGCCAATTTGGCTAAGTCTACAATATAATAGTAAATATCAAAGTAAAAAGTAAAATATTTAGTTAATCATCTTTATATTTTCTCTATATGATGTTAAGTGTCTGGACATTTTTTAAAAATCTGCACAATGAAAAAAAACCCCTCACTTTTCATCTCCTCATATGTTTGGGTTACATAGACATCATAGGCAACTCTTTCCAAGATCTTTATTAGTAAAATATGCTCCAATCAAAACAAACACACTGGAAACCAAAGGACTTCCTCTCTTTTTTCCTCCCATTCTCTTCTTACAAGATTTCTAAAAAAAAACATTAACTATCAGGAATACCCAATAGTTCAGATACATCTGGCTTCTTTAATCATCTATTTCAAGGAGTCTTTTCCTTCCTGATTTAAGAAACCAATGCTTTTGATAAGAATTGACTAACTTGGATATACTGAATAAAACATTTAAGATTTTTCTTGACAATTTCCCTCAAGATCATTCTTCGCAGGAATCCATTTATGTAAAAGTTGTGTCAGATTAAATCAATCTTGGCTTTATGATAAAAAAATATGAATTTCAACAATGAAGACTACCTATATCACAAGGAGATGTTCTAGTACTTCGACACTTCTTATACTTGCCCATTGAAATTCCTTCTACATCCTGTGTTTAATAATCCACAAATGTGTTCATATAGTCCACTATTATTAACATGATATTGAAGTTGTTTTTATCTGCCTTGCTGCTTACAACACATTTGCAACAGTATATTGTGGCAAATTATATATTTGCTCTGTTGACTTTATTCAAGAATGGTAATCATTGCTCTCAATATATACAGCATTTGCCAAGTCTCCACATTGCCTGATCCTCATCTAATGGAGTTGAATCACCTTTTTCAAAATTTTTCGCCTTTTCTCTAAAATCAGCATGCCAAACCTGTGCTTCAATTCTTGGCCATTTCAGGGTTTATATTTTTATAATACCCACTAACACAATTCTAATTTTGAATTTATGCTGCCTTTAAGAAGAATAAAGTTCACAAAACTGACTTAATTCCCAAGGGTCTAGCCTCGGACTAATACAAGATGATTCAAAATGGGTAGAAGCCTAGATGCTTTCGAGTTAATTCTGTTTCCTGATTCATGCCTCAGAAAAGATCTGTTAGAGATATAGATGAGAGATGACAAATCTTAGCCCGGCATGGTAGGTGAGTACCAACTCCAATGCCAACTGTTCTAGGAACCAATATGTCAATCAATAATTAGGACACTATATTTCTCTATTCAGATCTCTATTTGACTTCACAAACTCTATCTAAAAGATGCTTTAAGGCTCACATTCTCTCCTAATTAAATCTACTTTTTCATTCTCTGTTTTAATTCATACTTGTATTTTCTGCCTTGTACTTTTATTATTTTCCCCATGGCATTTTTTTCCCTTTGGTTGGCTTCAGAAATATATAGTCCATCTTTATTTTTTCTTCAAATTATCTCCAATTTTAAAAAAGTAGTCTATGCTATTAATTTTATATTAGTGTTACCTAAATTTTGCCTGAAACAAAGAAGGCCAATAAACTATGCTTAATGTAAAACAAAATCCAACCCTATAACTTTTCTGATATTATTTACATGGGCAAAGTGTGTAAAGGAATACAAGAGTAAACAAACTGAATTAAAACAATTTTACCAAGAGATCAGTTTTGGGGATTACATTTTTAGACTAATTGTTAATCATTTGCTTCCGTCACTTTGTTTTGCAGATACAGCAAATATATATAGTTATACTCCTTAGAATGGCATAGGTATCATGTAAAGGAGAACTTTGTACATCTCGCTCTGAGAAAAATGAAAATTTTTATAAATATAGATATGACAACAGAGAACATACCTTACTCATTGTACCTTTGAATTTTACCTTTAATGTTAGAAATATTATTCAGTATACATGGCATGACTTTTTTCAAAGGGATTTTGTTAAGAGTAAACTAAAAACAACATATTCCATAATTATAATTACTATTTTAACAACTCACATTTACTGATCTTTTATGACATAGTAGACATTCCTTAGATATTTTATTTTCACTGTCATTGAATTCTCACAACCCTATATAACATTGTAACATATTAAATTGGAAGCTTCTAATCCTAAAAGAAAACAAAGAATAAATTAATATAGTCCTACATCATTATTTTAAAGATGAAAAAATTCAGGTCTAAGGGGACTAAATGTTCTGCCCAAGATCATCTGGCTGTTAGAGTGAAAGAAGAGGTATTAGACCATACAGTCTGCTTACTCCTTCCATAGGCTAATTGTGTTTCTTTGAAAAGAAAAATTGATCTAATTTTACCTAAAAATTATCCAGAATTGATGTATGATGTTTTGTCAATTGGAAATAAGGAGCTTGCCAAGCACGAAGGATAAAAATGTGTGCATTTTTTATATAATGCATGGTGTGCATTACACTGAACACGTCTTTAAAGAATTCTTTCATGTGTTTTTTTTTTTTCAAGTAATCATTTTTATTCAAAGCATCAGGAAGCAAAAACACAGAGAAATTACAGATTTACAAATTTAAACAAAAGAAGGTATTACCTGAACACTTCCTGGTTATCTTGAGTGATAAAAGTAGTTCTTCAAACAATTCTTGAACACCTTTTTCCAGTTTCATAAAGGATTTTATGAGCTCCAATAAGAATTCAACTTTGTCTAAGGGGAGAGAGAAATTTCTTCCTTTCTGTGGGCATTCAGGGGTAACTGTGAAAAGAAAAGATCAATATTGTCATGCATTTTATTTATCTCCTTAGTAAATATTAGAGCGATGTATGTGATTCCATAAACTATCTAAAAACTAACCAGATCCTCCATAATTAATCCAAGTTACTTAATTAAGAAACACATATAAAATCTAGGAGTATCTTTTCTTCTAAGAAGATGGAGATGAATATTCTGTTTGAGGCAAATATGCCAATTAAATTATTAGATTGAGTCTCAGAGTTATAAATAGAAAGAAATTGGATTTGTTGTAAAATCACATCTTATGCAATTCTGCTTTTTTTTTTTCTTAGTCTAGCATAACTTGAATCTAATGACAAGGAGATACTACACAAACCCAAACTGAGAGACATTCAACAAAATACCTGGTCTGTACTTTTCAAAAGTGTCATGTGAGGGAAGCACAAAGGCCAGGAAATGACCTAGTCTAAAGAAGTCTAAATAGACATTAAGTACAATTGAAATTAATACACAATCAGCATTTTATTTTGCTATAAAAGACATTCTTGGGCTGGGCGCGGTGGCTCACGCCTGTAATCCAAGCACTTTGGGAGGCCGAGGTGGGTGGATCACGAGGTCAAGAGATTGAGACCATCCTGGTCAATATGGTGAAACCCCGTCTCTACTAAAAATACAAAAAATTAGCTGGGCACGGTGGCGCGTGCCTGTAATCCCAGCGACTCAGGAGGCTGAGGCAGGAGAACTGTCTGAACCCAGGAGGCGGAGGTTGCGGCCGAGATCGCACCATTGCACTCCAGCCTGGGTAACAAGAACGAAACTCCGTCTCAAAAAAAAAAAAAAGAGACATTCTTGGGATAACTTGGTGAAATATATTACGTCAATTCTGAAGTCTATTTTCAAATGCTGTTATTGTATGACTTAATTTCTTGATTTACATAACTATTGTGGTTATGAAAGAGAATTTCTTTGTTTTTAGGAAGTACACACCGAAATATGTAAGAGTGTCTGCAGACTATTTTTATTTCAAGAAAAAAATAAAATTTTGTAAAGAAAGAGAGAAAGCAAAAGTGGAAATGTGGTCAAATATTAACATTTGGGAAATCTGAATGTAAAGGAAACTTGGGAATTCTTTGTATTATCCTGGCAACTTTTTTGTAAATCTGAAATTAAAATAAACATTTTACAAAACACTATATGAAAGATATATTCTTTAAGACTTTATATGTTTTGTTCCTATCATTTACAAAAAGCAAATTAAGGCCAGGCGCAGTGGCTCATGTCTTAATTTCTGCACTTTGGGAGGCTGAGATGGATGGATCAGGAGATCAGGAGTTTGAGACTAGCCTGACCAACATGGTGAAACCCCATCTCTACTAAAACTACTAAATATAGCCAAGCGTGGTGTCCTGAGCCTGTAATCCCAGCTACTCAGAGACTGAGGCAGGAGAATTGGTTGAACCCGGGAGGCAAAAGTTGCAGTGAGCCAAGATCGCGCCCCTGCACTCCAGCCTGGGCAACAGAGCAAGACTCCGTCTTGAAAAAAAAAAATCAAATTAATTTAGCTGTTGAATCTAGACTACATAACCCATGAAGTCATGTTTAAAAATAACTTTGTTAAAATAATTGTGATATCTATTATTTGCATAAGAACAATACAAATTAAAGGGTTTTTTTGTCCTTTTCTAATTATGCTACTAGTAAAGTCATACTATCATTTTATTATGATACTAAAATCACTTTATACTCTCTAAGAGTATGGAGAACAATTCATTTATTTCATGTTTTTAACTCCAATTTGTTACTTTCACTTTAGATTATATCACTAAATGGTTTTTTTGACCAAGTTTTAAAGGATTTAAAAGAAACCTTTATTAGTGCCTTTTTTAAAAACATATATTTAATAAATATCTAGAAGCTTAATTATAAATTGGAAAATTTGTAAACTCCTATAGACTTAACATAAATTGCCTTTGGAGATAAAATACAAATGCTATTCAAAAATTGTATAGGGTCTGGCAATTCAATGGGGAAGAGAAAGATTACTTTCATCACATAGATATAGAAGGAAGATTCCAGAAATCTAACAATTTTGTGGCTAATCTACTTCACTTCAGTGAAACTTTAAAATGTTAGCATCAAACTTGTAGTCCTATAAATAGTCTTTCACTAAGGACCAAAATGTCACGGTATCTTTACAGGTAATATGAGAAAGAGCTGTCTACTAACTTAGACTATAAAATTTAGTACTGTTCTGAAATAGTAAAAAGGCTTAAAAAAATCTGCAAGTAGATACAAAAACTCTGTTTCATCTCTAAGTTGATATTAGCCCCATATACATGAAAATCTAACTAACATGTACTGTTCTTCTATAGGCATGCTAGAGAACACAAGTATGTATAGGCAGCATATACAACTAAGGCTTTGTCAGAAATAGTATGCCCCAAAATGAAAAGAGAATAAATATATTATGTTTTATTTAGTTGGTGCTTGATTCCCATTTGGTCTGTTTGATTTCTCTTAAGCTTTGCTCATGTAGATGAGTGGCTAGTTTAACCTTCTAAACCTTAAATTTCCTTGTGCAACTAAAATGTTTATAAACCAAATTTTCAAAGGCTTTAAGAATCCTTCCTAATTCTTTATTTGAAAACGTCTCTCAATAGTTTGACTAGAAATTCAGCATATTTAAGAAGTGTTTATCTGGCTCAATTCCAAATTGAAGTCTTGTGAATGTTTATAAAGTAAGCAAAGAAGCATCCCAAGAAAAATCATTAAGAGTCAAAATTATACAAGACTGCTAATTGTTGACAATTATGCAAGGTCTGAGGATTCTATATAAAGAGGTCTTACTTTCATGACCTGGATTTAGAAGAATCTTGTACTCCAAGAATAAAACAATAGTGAAAAGGAAATCTTTTTTTAATTCAGTGAATCTTTATAACTTAATAATGCAAGAGAATAGAATAAAATATATGACCTAATTCTAATCATTTTTTTGTCCCAAAGAACCAATGATTATGGTAGAGGCCCATTAATTAGTAGTCTTTATTTCCTATTACTATCAGCTCAGTGTTCTCCCAAGGGGTATTGTACGGCTTCTTAATTTACGGGAAAATAATTCTGTGATAAATTCATTTTGCAAAAGGCCAATTAAAGCAAAATTAAACACAAAGGATGAAGTAGCATTTCCCAAACTTATTTGACTTATTTTACCTCACAGTATCTCAAAGGACCAGTGTCCTAATCATCACACCTTAGCTCATGATTTCTAGCTGCCTAAGCATTTGTTTCTCTGTCCCTTAAACTTCATTGTTAACCAAATTAGTAAAGAGTTTCTCCCAGCAGAGATTCCTTGACCTTCTCCTTTGCTAAATTAATCTCCTTTCCATGTTTTTCAATATTATTTGTTTGCTCCTCCTCTGCAAGTCACTTCTCCAGAAAACATTATCTGCCAGCCTGGGCAACAGGGCAAATCCCATCTCTACAAAAAAATACCAAAACAAGCAAACAAACAAACAAAAATTAGCTGGGCCTAGTGGCGCAAGCCTGTAGTTCCAGCTACTCAGGAGGCTGAGGTGGGAGGATCACCTGAGCCTGGGAAGTCGAGGCTGCAGTAAGCCGAGATTGTGCCACTGCACTCCAATCTCGGCGACAGAGTGGGACCCTGTCTCAAAAAAAAAAAAAAAGGCTCCATCTCAGTCCGCTGCAACCTCTGCCTCTGGGATTCAAATGATTCTCCTGCCTCAACCTCCTGAGTATCTGGGATTACAGGTCCCCACCACCAGGCCCAGCTAATTTTTGTGTTTTTAGTAGAAATGGGATTTCGCCATGTTGCCCACACTGGCCCTTCTCAGCCTCCCAAAGTGTTGTGGTATCAGGCGTGACCCACTGCACCCTTCTGAAAACTTTATTTGGCTACAATAAATCCAGGAGTTCTCCTTCCCCCAGTAAGCCAACTTGGCCTTTATTTATTTATTTAAAACACTATGGAACTATCATGCTTTAAAGTTTTGGACATACATGTTTATACACAGGCAATTCTGTTTGGCCTACTGCCAACCATTGCTGTAAAATATCTCACGTAATAACTATTGTTTGGCTATAAGATGAGCTCCAGGATTCCTAGGAAATATAAATTTCTCCTAAATCCTCAAAATAGTATCAAGATAAAATCAAATTTTCATTTTAGAGAAATCTTTATTTAATTTACCATTACCTAGAAATGAGTACGTCCACGTAAATAATAACTAGATAGTTGCGGGTTTTTCTTTATATATAATTTTAATAATTTTTCTAAAATGCAATATAAAATAGTCTGTTTATTTAGTGTATTTAAAACAACTTAAATTTTCCTTCATGACAGAGTTACAATGACAGTTACTTATTTCTATGCTACACTCAGAGACGAATGTTTCTCCTTCTGTTAAAGGGCATTTCTCAAACCGATAATCATTTGAAAAGTGTTCTATGACCAAATAAGCTTGGGAAATACTACATACTGAATTCTCCTTAAAGTAATTCAGAAAGCGAATTAGCATATTAAAGTCTCTATTTACTTCCATAATAAAGTAAAACTTTCTAAATTTAGTGTTTCTCAAACCTTTTTGACCAATGAACACAAGTTTATCAATACATATCTACTCCTGAGATATTCTCAAAAACAGTTGTGTGGGGAACACTGCTCTGGATTCCTCCACAACTTGAGTATTTATATCTGCTTTATAGATTTTCCTTTCACTGTGGGTTCTTGTTGCTGGTTGTGTGGATGATTTTACTGGTACCCTCTTCCACTTGTAAACCGCTGCTTCTAACATTATCATAGCATTTTTGCAGACCCCTTTAAGAAACTAACTAAGGAAAGTCTTCTAAAGCCTCCTAGACCTTCTCGTTGAATACAATTCATGTAGTAACAGTGTGAAGGCTGAACAGAACCACCTGAAGTCCATCTTCGGCTCTCATAGAGCTGTATGGTTCAGGACTTTCTGTATTTTTAGAAATGCAGATTTCTGGATTACTTTTCAGCA